TGCACAGGTGATGTCACCACTCTAAACAGGCCAGCTTCTCACTTCCGCTTCTCAGTTTCTGCGCTGCAAGCTCCGTAAAATTCAGGGTAGCGCTCGGTTAGATGCCAGCGCTCGCATAGGATCGGCCACGCAGCATCACCAAGTGTGTGCACTAGCACGCGGTTTCTCTTAGGCAGCTCGTGCAAAAGAAGCTGGGCGCTAACCTCTTGAAGATAAAACTCGAGGGTTTTCACTCGAGCCCATCGGCCCCTCCATGCAATCCAAGGAACATCTTCGGTGCGGCCATAGAGAAAAGTCGCCCCGCTGCCGCGCAGCGAGCCCGGAGTTGCTCCGCGCTGAGCTTGTCGGTGGGGTATACCTAGGTGGGCCATGACGGCGTCCCACTGTTTTCTGAAAAGGCTGATGGAACCATTGTACAATCGGCAGTGCAAAGGGAAGTCGCCAAAGATCTGCTCTGCCAAATGGATAATCTGAGCATCATCTATTCGGCCGTGCTGACGTCTAGCAAATCTAGCTGTCTTTGGATTCTGCAGATGAATATAGAGGCAGGTCATATCAAAGCAAACATCTTTGGGAAAAACAAGATCTTTTCTTGTGAGGGCGATCATCTCGCTCGGATGAAGCATTGCTGCAAAACCCAGCAGTACGATGCCCACCCAAACATGCCAGCCCCAAAATGTTGCAACTGTGACTGCAGCTCGAATAGCTATCCCTGGAAGGACAGCCCTGCACTGACCTGGTTCATGGATCTGCCACTTTCGGTCGATTTGCCAGGCTAAGGTCAAAGACGATTTGCACTGAGGAAATTGCTCGGCCACCCCTGTAATTGCATAAACGAATAAGTACCTAGGTAAGCCCCTTTCAAAGAGTTGCACACCGTAGGCCCTCAGAGCCCATCCAACAGCCAAAGGGTCTTGCACTAGTCTATCGAAATCTAATCCGCAAGTATCTTTCACCCATTCAGCAAAAGCTTGCACGCACTGCCGCATGCGAGAGGCTGTCTCAGGAGCAAAACCCACTGTCAAATCCAAAGCCCCTCGAGGATGCAAAACTCGTGGCTTTGCGCGTGGACCCGAAGGCCCTGGATTCAATTCTATGTCACCCGCTAGGATTAACAAAATAAAACGGATCCACCTTCCTGGAACACGGGCCACTCTGGAAGAATTCACTACTATGTCGAACGCTCTAGTGTCTCCATCTGCCAGTTGAGCAAGCCAGGCCGGCTTGTCCTTCGTCGGGGGGGGCCAAAGGGCGGCCTCTGGAGGGGCCGTCAGCTTTGTTGGAAGCTGAATAGCAATGCAAACCACCCGGGTACAGATTACCTCCAATGATATACGCAATGCTACCTTGCAGAACCCTGCTAATTGAAAATGAACTAGAGCGGCCCTTGGCACTGGCCCCCAAAGTCACTCTGGAATCAAGCAATCCAACAAATCGGGAATCTCTCGAAGATTTGGCCATGTGTTTAATCCAGGACTTATAAGTGCGTGTCTCGTTTACATTGATATGGCCGGGTTTCACAAAATTGAATCTAAAAACCTCACGAAATGGCAAAGACTCACATATTTCGCCTATCCATTCAGGGTCCTCGTACCAGGGACGCGACGGGTATGGAGGCTCAGGCAAAGGCACAGCTGAAATCTCATCTAGCATAAGGCCGACTTCAAGTGCAGAGGATGCCACGGCGCTAGCCGGCACAGGGGAAACGCCCGATCGAGCTGCTTCTTTGCTGCCCACTGCCATCGCTTGCACCAGCCTGACAGGATAGACAGCTGAGAAGTCAGAAACCCGTTCTCCGGGTTGCGGCATGGTTTCATACACAGATTCAATACCTGGTCTACACCTTTCGTTGAAATCCTTGATGCTCGCCTCTGTGAAAGTACCTTCGACTACAAAGTGATTTCCTTTATAGGGACACGAACAGGAGCTCTGCAATGGCACTAGCCATGGCTTGTTGTGAAGCCACTTGGAAGGCTTGTGAAATCCACTACCAAAACAGCAAAATGCGAAATGAGCGATTACGCAGCCCAAACGAATCAAGGTTTGAAACACGTTCAGCAAAAACAAGCAGCTGTTTCGAGGCTGCTCAATACTGACAAAGGAACCATACTTCAGTGCCAAAATCAGTAATATGCCCACCCGCTGAGCTATCTTATTGTGATAGGCTGTGTAGGGGTCTGAGGGATCAAAGCCGAACGGGATTTCCTTAGACCTTACTCGGGGCCGTCTCAAAGTGCCGAAAGACGGGCAAGGCACCCCAGCGTGCCAGTCTCTGACGACACCTCTACACGCCAATGCTGCCAGCTCTCTGAAGACCGCATCGCAGGTGATGTCGCTGACCCTAAGACAGCGCCCATCAACATCAATCCCATCATGCACGCGCAATCCATTGCGCTCATGAGCGAGAGACCAATTTCCGGCTCCCCGAAAAAGCTCAATACAATCGAAAACGAAACCTTCTCTGAGGCTGAGGGGAACTTCCACTTGGGGTCCATTACTCTTCAAATGATCTTGAAACATGTGCATGGAATCGGGCTCGATACCATGCTCTGAAAGGATTTGGGACACAGGACTCTGCAAGCGTGTGTGGAAACCTTTCTGCTCTGTGTGACGCCATACTTCTTGAGTCACTGCAGCCCCAACTTCGGCGCGAACAACAGCCCCTCCAGTAGGACTTGCGTCCATGCAAAAGATATCACTGCAGTATCCAACTCTCAAATCACACTGAGCTGTAGGGCCCAATACGGCCAGAACTTGAAGCTCATTCAGAGACTGTCTTTTCAAACAAAACACCTGGTCAAGCTTCTTCTCCATACCATCAGTGAAAAGCGAGTCTATGATTGAAAACAGAACACGTCTGAAAAGGAGAACATGAATCCAGCACCCAACCACCAAATTTAACAGCCTTCGTGTACAAGTGCGTTTGGAAACTATGGCAAGTGAAATGGCAGACAACAACAGCACGCGGCTTCGGGGTGCCATCACTCGACCCTTTAACCCATCAAAGTCAGCTCCTAGAATGATCCCTTGAGTGCAGTTTCGTTTTTGTTTCTTACTCCGCTGCACAAGACCAACGGATCTATAAGCCTTTGAAGCTAACTGGAAAATCTCGGTGTCTCGAAGTGGAGGCTCCTCTGGGATGTCTTTTATCGGTAATCTCTGAAGGCCAACATGATCATCAATAGCCAAGAGCTCGATAAAACTACCTCTAGGGACCGGGTGCCTATACTTAAGGGTTTCCTCATCTTTCATGGAACCACACAAGAACTTAAGGACATTGCCATGCGCTTGTTGCGCAATTTCAACTGCAAGGTTGTCACCCATAGCAAGAGTTGAAAGACAAAGCAACAAATGAGAGTGCTTGGCATGCTCCTCCTTGAAGCATTTCAGGTGCTCAAGTTCATGAGGTTCAAACTTCATGCGAAAGGCGTTTCTCCTAGCCCTATTTTCACTCACCCGAAAGGTGTAGTAGAAGTCCGAAAGATCATCAGCGGAAAACCGAAAAGCTTCCCAAGGTTCCAAATGTAAGAGGCCTAGCATACAACCAGGGGCGAGGGTCTTGGTTGACTCGCTAACAGTCCACATTCTACCATTGAGGTTCTGAGGGTTAATAATGAGGCGATCGAATTGCGAATCCTTACCTACAGCAAACATCCCTACAGCTTCGTCCCACTGCTTTTGGTCTGCAGGCATAAGTCTCAACGCTCCAAAGTCGTCCCATCTCTGTGCAAGATCCAGCAGCTCAGACCTAGAACAGTTTATCTTTGCAGGCCTAGAGGATTCCCAAAACTGCTCAGGCTTACGCATGACTTCCGGATCATTAAAAGCAGCTTTTACAACTGGATCATCCAAAAAAGCACTAGCTTCGAAACTTGGTGGGAACTGCCACTTGATCCTTGATGAAACGACAGGTCGAGCCCCTGACATAGGTAACGGCTCCGAGCGGTCGACAGGACATTGGTGGTCTGATTTGGGCGACTCATTTTCTTTGTAAGGACCTCTTTTACCAAAATGGCTGGAATAGGGGTCCAGTTCGGCATGCAGTTGTATTAAACTCTGCTCGAGGTCCTCACCCGCCAATCGACATGACGGTAGTTCCTGCAAAAGCTTAATTACACCTTGGTACTTTTCTTGGAAACGACCCAAATCATCCCCAGTGAAGGCATCGGCAGACAGATGATGCTCCACTAAGCTTTCAATATGTTCAATAATCAAATGTTGAACATTGGAAATGGGGTGTCCTAAGCAAGCCTCAGGCGGCGGCTCACTCACATGGCCCAAGGTCTCCCAGTTCAAACAAGCTATCACCAACTGCACAGCTCTGTGTCGTGTTTGCAGCTGACGCTTCCGCTTGCGTCTCCTGGGTCCAAGGTGTTTGCACGCCGTCCAACTCCACCTGGGCAGAGGGACAGGCCACAACGTCCTCTTTGCAGAGGACTGCACATTGGAGACGGATTGCAAAACAAGGCTCCTCCTACAAAACTGGCTGAGCGCAGTCCGTGAGCTAAGGAAGTCCCTATTAAAATCTTGCATCAAATTATATGGATCAAAAAACTCAACCGAACTCGACGCGGCAGGCGTCTGGCTACTGCTAGCAAGGGGCTTGTTCGGGGAAGAACTAGATTTGTTAACCTTAGGCAGTATGAATCTGTCTTGCTTTGCCCGCTGTGTTGCACGCAGGTCTGTAGAGCTGTAGGTGTTTGTAGAGGTTTCACACTCACCTATTGTGGTAGAAATGACTTCATGTTCACCCAAGCCTGCCAGACCTGAAACATGATTAGGCTGATGGGATAAGCATGCTCGCGGCGGAGCGGCAGGCAGGCTTACAGGCAGAAGAAATTCAACTGGCGCTGCTACTGGCCCAAGCGCGGGAGAATCGCTACCGGCACAGTGCGGGATGCAGCTGGCACAATGGTAATCAAGACTGTTTACACGTTTATCAGTTTTACCATGTCTTACGAATGAAACGTCAGTACGATCCAAGGCACTGCAATGTCCCAAAGCAGCCGGCTGGCTCATACATTCACTCAAAGACTGAGGCTCTCCGGGCGCGCAAACCCTCAACTGGCAGCTGCGTCTGCACTGTCCCCATCCTTCCCGGATCCCTTCTTGCCCTTCTTGCCCTTTGGTTTCGGTTTGGGTTTTGGCCCGTCTTCGAGTTCCGAGCCGGCACTGGTCTGCTTGCCTTTTGGTTTTCCAAGAGTCTGAATTCTGCCTTCGATGTAGTCGAGGTCCTTGAGGAAGGCCAGATTCGCCGACACCCACAGGGGTGAGGCAAGCCGGGTAAAGGGCTTCAACCCTGGGGTCCTCTTTACCGAGAAGTGCAGATGAGTGTTTGGTTCTGGGAACCCTGACATCAGCCACCCCAACTCCAGTCTGGAGTTGTCCAAGGCACTCTGCTCTATGAAAAACAGCATCCTGGCAATGAACCCTTTCATGATGGGATCCTGGGCAACATGAGCTATCGACCACCCTTCTGCTGCGAGAACGGCAAAATGGGCTAACATCTTGTTTTCGGCCAAGGGGACTCGCCGCTCTATGTAGAGATGCATCAGGTCCTTGTCTTCCTTGTCCATCGAGATGCCCAACTCCTGCATGGCATTCAACCGAGCGACTTCTCCGACCTTGGGAAGATCCTGAACTGTCCTCAGGTACATGTCTCTGGCCATGCACCCTCTGGCACTTCCGGAGTTGTTTCCGGACTCGCTGCCCCCTCCGCTTAGCAGGGTAGACATTGGATCTTTGGGCGCCATCATGCGTTGCATCAAAACAGAGTTCTGCTTCATCTGAAGCAACAGCATCCGTTGAATGGGGTCTGCAACCAACTCCGGTTCCAAGTCCCACTCCGGTCCTGGCAATGCTGGATCTTCGATGACACCCTTCTCGGCCTCTGCATGGAGACCCTCTAGCATTGGATACATCTGTTGCTGCCTTAAGGATTGACGCTGAACTGCTGCTCCTAAACGACCCGGCGGAGTGCCGGCCAACTGTTGCAACTTCATCAATTCCTCGGAATTGAGTCCTGATGAGGCAGGCTGGGTTCCAAACAAGCGTTGTTCTGCTCCATGCTTGGCTCCTGGCAGCAAGGGGACGGTGGAAGGTCCCGGCGGAATGACTGGCTGGCGGGCACGAGCCAACTCTGCTTCCAAAGCGCGCATGCGCTCTTTCAGCTGGGCAACCTCGCCCTGATCCCCATTTGCAGCAAGAGACGGGGAAGGCACATCTGACTCCTCGTACTCCACTCCTGTGTGATAGTCGGCAGTCACCTCGGCGTCCAAACCAGCCCCCTCTCCCAACCAGGTTTCTGCTAGTCGCAAGGCTGAAGAGGCGGATGGACGACCTGACTGGTCTCCAACCTGGAAATGGACCACACGAGTATTTCGCGCAGCCGCTCCTCTGAGCACGGTGGACTTGAAGAAACTGCTGATGGCTTCCCATCCTAAATCTACTAGTTGACATTCGGCCAGGCCCAAAACTTTGCTGCGCGAAGACACTACAGTCACCTCGCTGTCCCAGAAAACAGGTTCCACCTGACTCTCTGAACTGGCATGCAAAATGGCAGTCTGAATCTCGTCGCTCTTTGGGATCAAAAGCATAAGGCCATGCGAACGAACCAAAATGGGAAAACATGCACCTACTGCGACTGAACCAGCACTCTTGGGATCTTCGGCCTCTAAAGGGATCCATATTGATGTGAGACTGAGCACTGACCTCTCGTCGACTCCACGAACAAAGCCAACGACCTCCTCCCAGGTCAAGGGAGGCCCTTTGAGCCCTGAAGAGCTAGAGGTCATCAAGCGTCTCCCTCTGTCCGAGTGAGAAAGGCTTGGCACACACAGGTCCTATCGAAGTCCGAACGTTGGTGCCAATGAGCAGCCCAAAAACCTTAGAGGCAGTTGGGCAACGAAAGAGGCTAAGGGGAGTTCCTGCAAGGCGTCGATGACACTCGGGCCTGGATAGCTACCTCAGGTCGATGGAGGTTTGACCCCACTCCTCGCACCACGGTGTTTTCGTCAAAGGTCCCGACGGTATTCAGCAAGCCTCTGTTGCACAGAGGGAGGCACAGAGGGAGGAACGGGCCCCAGATATGCAGCTCCAAGCCGCGCCACCAAGAAACCAAGCCGCTGACAGCCCCTCGAGAGGATGCAGCCTACAGCACAGCCCCCGCAGCAAATGCCAATGAGGAAGGCAAGGAGAATCAGGAATGCACCCAAGCCCCAAGGACACGACGCAGTCCCCGGAGTGGACCAGTATCGGGCTTCACGGATCAGATCAGCTAAACTGAACGCTAAATTCATTCACTTGACCCGAGAAGCTGACACCCCAGTGGTCACATCCAACTCTAGGGGATAGCTGTGCATATTATATATATATATATACCCTAGAAGTCCAGTTCGACGATGTTCGGCACCACCCGAGTTTAAAGGAAGTTCCTGAACTCGGATCACCTAAAGACCGTTTTAAAAATGGTCTTGGACTCCCAGGGTATATATAAGATTACAAAATGCGAGGGGCCAGTAGAAGGCGGTGTCGCGGATGCAGCTGCCGTAGAGGATGGGTCACGAAGAAGGTTAAGGACATTAAATCGGGGGATCTCACCTAGGCAAACGCAAACGACGGGCAACAAGCAAATGTCTATCTACAAGAGGTTCATTCATGTTCACAGCTTGGTGTAGCAAGAAAATGCAAGAAACACACAAACACTCTATGAAGAAAGGTATTCTTGATGCTGCATTAAGGGGTCAGGTGTTGTTCGATGCTATTTGCCAACTTACTAAGCCAAAGAAGTGCACCTGTCCTCCACCCATGCAATTCTGAAGTCTTGGATTCCTCAAGGCGCTGTGACCTCCAGTGCCCCCACGAGGCCTTCAAAGAAGTAGATCAGTGAAACGACGAAGTACGTCACCAAGAGGATGTAGCCCTGACTGATGAGTTGAGTCGTGGCAGGACAAAGGGCCATGAGCCATTCTTCCCATGGGAGTTCTTGGTACCAGGCAGGCAGAGAACGGTGCTAACCCATGGAAGTCAGGTTCTTCTCCCTCAAGAAAACCCATCCAACTACAACTCAAAGAGATGCCTCTACCGCGTTTTCACGTCATCTTGGAGCCATGCGACGTCATGGGACTGACATGAGCTGACCATCCAAGTGGATCCACTCACCACTCGCATGGCCCCATCATGGGGCCCCCACGACGACAAACCCGATCTTCTGCTTGGTTGCTGGGTGGCGGCATGTGTGTTTCAACGGTGGGGTCCGACCGGGTGGTGTTCACCGACCGGGCCGACCGGGTGGTGCCGCCTCCAACCAGTTGGACTGGCCGTTGTTCAGGATCGTGTTCACCAGGAAAACGGAGAACAAGAGCACCTGAGGGAGGGAGGAAACCGCCGCGACTGGTTGACATGAGGTCAGAAGGTCAGATCGAAGGAGAGAACAGAACAGGATGTGGTTATGCGTGGGTGCCAGCGTTTTAAGTTATATTTATATTCAGAAAACGGTATGGCCCAGCCCCAGCTATATAGGTTCCATAACTCTGTGGTTGTGGCCATGTTGATTTCTTTGCGTGTGAGATCGTGTGAGGAACACCCTGCATAATCCATGACCAATTGAGAAATGCATTCTAATGATTGAAATGGTTTGCATCTTCACTCGAGTGAAAAGAGCGATTCAGGCACTCGAATCCAGCCCGTCTCAGCAAATGTGGACTGGCAGCAAGCCCAAAAAACAATCATAAAACAGACCTCCCTTCTCTACCTCTACCTACCATTCTGTGGCTTTGTGCTTCCCTTTGTCCTTTCACACCATGGCTTTCCTCCAAACACTTCTTCGTCGCTCCGAGCGCGCCGGCCGCTAACTGGAAGGCGTGAAAGTTCAGGGTCATCTCGGTGCCTCGTGCCGGATCCGCTCCCCCATGCCGCCCCCACGCCGCCGTCGGGACCACCTGGGCACCCTTTATCTTCCGAGCCGCGACACCGTGTCGGAGGGGGGGGGGCGAGACGGCCAGACGTGGCCCGTCCGAAAGGAAGGCGCGAACATGGTGGGTTTGGGTTTGGAACATGGGAAGACTCAGGGGATTGGGGGCGATCGTGGTTGAAGCCGCCGTTTCACATCATGGAAGTTCATGTTTGGGCCCATGGTTTTGCAAAGGTTGTTGTGCACAGTTGTTGACTTTCGCTTCTTCATTGACCCGGGACCCCTATGTCCTATGTGTTATGTGTGGTTGCCTCTTCCCTGGCCTGGGAATTCTGTAGCGAAAGGCCAGCTATCTGTCGGGCTCTGGCTACTGTAAATTGGCTCAATTTGGTTCAGAGTCGGCTCCCCTATGCGAGTTCTTCGGAGGCACTTGAATACATCAAGGCAAGGCATGGCCTGGAGCAAGTGCAGTAGCACTGATTCAACAAAAGGATGCAGAATGAAATTTCTTGCCAGTCTAAGTCCTAAATGTTTGAGTTTCCAACCCTGAATCACAAAGCTTACACATGAGATCTGGCATGCAGTACGTTGCCTCTAGCTGCCTCCAGGCCGAAGGAATGGCACCTTGACGACCCAATCTGACCGAACCCGCCACATGAAAGGCGCCGTTTCGCCCGGCAAACCGCGCACGAAGAGCCGCCCGGCCATAGCACCAGCCCACCAGAACGGTAAATGGGGTGACCTCAGCACGCTTAGAAGGTCAGGCAAATGAGGACAGGTTTGCAAAAGTGGGACCAAATCAAATGAGCCCTCCCACAAATTGCTTGCAAGCAACCTCAACCTCTCTATCGCCTTCAAAATCTGCCCTAATTAGCTGGTTTTGCCATCATTCCCTTGCCGGTCTGTTGTTGCGTAATCTGCCTGTATTCCGCTCCCTGATGTCCTTCTCATGCTGCCTACGCTCAGCTTCCAAACCAGAAGGGCCATCTGGCAAGAGGAGCCCGCAGCCACCTGATTGGACGAGGACGTCCCAAAAGTGTTCCGACTGGCATCCTCTGGGTCCCTTGGATGGTTCAAATGCCCGGAAGCCATTGTCCATTCTCATCCTCTGAAATTCCCCAAGTGTTCAGGGGTCTTTCCCCATGCCCATGCACACCATGGCTGAGGCTGAGTAAGGAGGAAGTCTGTGAAACGGAGGCCTTTATCTTGATCCACTCCATGCTACACTCACTCCTTGGTCGCCCCAAAAAATGGTCCCCCAGCAAGACGAACAGAAATCACCTCACCATCCCCTGCTTATGCTTGGCCTAAGAATCCCATCAGATCCCTCCTAAACCTGCAGGTTCACCTGCAAGAGCCCAACACCTGGACCTGCCACGTCACCCATGGCCCGCGAAGGCGACACCCACCCGCACCCCTAAAGAGAGGTCCATCTTGTTCTGCATCGCCACCTGAGGTGAGTTCTTCCACGGTGAGGGCATCGGGACTGTGTGAAGGGACGCACGCGGTGTTTTGGGACGCGGCGCCAGGTGGCGATTTGGCCAAGCCAGAAGCTTTGCAAAGCAAACCATTTGAATACACGACACAAGCAGTTGCAACATGTGGTGTTCTGCGCTAGCATTGGTATCTCAAAGAAGCACACTCGTCCAATGCGCACTGTCGTTATGGTCGGAAGATCAAACAATAGGCATGTGCCTCCTAGTGGCTGGCTGAAAAGCCTGGAGTAGGAGAGATCACATCATTTTTGTAAACAGGCTCGTTACACCCTGGCCCTGGCGGACCAGACGCGTTACTTCAAGAACACCGAGAACTAGTGTTTGGAGTTGTTGGGGGCGCGATTCGTCTCCCCGCAAGTTCATCCAATCTCTCCGTGGATGGCGATATTTCCAACTCCAACTCCCAAACCCTCCAAAAAAAAAAACAAAAAAAGTGTAATTCGAACAACCCTCACCTGACAGGTGGGCAATAACACTCTGAGGGATGAGCCTCACATACACCTCCCATCGGCCGCAGTCGTCCAGAGGATCCACCGAGCCTTAATGGCGGTGTAGTGCTCCGCCGCGTTCCCAATGATGGGCAGCAGGATGATGCCGATGAACCTCGCGGCGGCCGGCGGCTCGGGACCCTGGGGCCATCTCATCCTCCCGCGGGCCAAAGAGGTCTAGTTGTGGAGTCCCAGTTGTAGTCCCAACTGGGTCATCCGTCTACAGTGGTCTGTCTCTAGTTGTGGAGTCCCAGTTTGAGGGAAGTCAGACCATGAGCTGCAGACGATGATTGCACCGACGAACGAAGCGATTTGGCCTCCACGGTGACGACAGAGACGACAGACCGTCGGCCCCTCTGAGGTCTCCCAGCTCTTTCGAGACCTTCCACTCACTGATCGTCCCCTGCGCGGCTTCACGCATCCGCTACATGGGGGCATGAGCCGCGAAGCTCGCACGCACGCGCCATCGCGTGCGGCGTGAAGCACGCGCTTGTTGAGGGATGGCGGTGGTGGGGGCGTGGCCATTGTCGATGGGTCGAATGGGGCGCTTTGGGGAATTGCTTTGGAATTGGTGGCACTGATTGTGCCATGCAAACGGATGCTAAGTGCAAGCCCCGGTTCCATGACTGGGCGGTTCCTGACGGTGCCTAGCTTCAAGGCGTTTCACATATGGCTTGAGCTCGCGAAAGAGAAGCCTTCCAATCCGTCACCCGGTGGCGGCCTCTATCTTGAACATCTACTTAAACTACTTACAGTGGTTTCAGAGTAAATGGCACAAGCCCCTACATGTCCTAGACAGATGGGGTTCATATAAACCACCGACATTTGGAGATTGTGCCATCTACTCTGAACCCACTGTATAGCAAATCCCAGTCTTATAAGTCCTCTCCCCATCCAATCCCCCATCCTTGGGGAGGCACCCGACCGCTGTGGGGAACATCCGGAAGGACTTTTTTAAGGCATGTTGAGGAGAATCAAGAACAGAGTGAACAACAAAAACACTTCCCTAAGGATCCGCATCCTCAAAAACAAGGGTTTTAGGGTACAAATCCTTGTTATAAAGGGTTCGACCCCTTCTAAGGAGGGCCCAAGGATCCTTAAATGTCTATAAATACAATGTCTATGTATGTCTGTGGGTCCAGGGAGGCATCCTTATGCTCGAATCTCTTCGTCCTGAGATCCTGGAATCCCTTCGTCCTAGCCTTTGACAACGTTTCCCAACGACACGAAACTTCTCGCGACATTCACTATATATATATATATACAGACCCCCAAATCGATATTAAAAGCAGATCCCCACTTTAAGACATGTATATATTGGAAACCGTTTCTATTATCTGCATTTGGTAGGAACAAGGGCATCGCTACTAGGAGCAAGAAGCTACTAGTAGCTCCTGGTATACTGGGAACAAGAAGCTAGTAGCAAAGGGCATTGCTACTAGCAACAACGGGCATCTATTTGGGGACCTCATGATTGTGAGGTCGGTCCCCGTGAGCCACCCGAGATGCACCGTTCGAAGCCTTGATGGCTTCGATCAAGGCGTCGGTGGCGAAGGAGGTGACCACGGTACAGATCTCGGTGCGCAGCGGAAGACGAGCCCCTGGTAGCGTCCGAACGCTCCTAGTAGCGCTGCCAGGAGCTCGTAGTAGCTTCTTGCTCCTAGATGCCAGTTGGCCTTTGGGGGCTCCTTTGGGCCTGGACCATCCCCGGCACCTGCAACCGTAGATTTGTCCCGACTCGCAAGATGCGGAATACATGCATCTCAGGATCCAGCGGTAGCTGAACTAGACCCTCTTTGCCCTGCTTGTGTTTCAGGTCCAGCTAAGAGAGGCACACATAGCATGATAGCTGCAGTCACAGGGCTTAAATCCGGCTCCTCCTCCTGTAGCTGGAGAGAACTCACAGTGTTTCGTTGCATGGGCGGCACTTCGAGCCGGTGTTCCTATATATCATGTTCAAGATGCTGGCCTGCTGTTGAAATGGGCAAAGGCAAATTGCATAACGCACTAAAGTTGTACTCAGGAATTTATCTACTGTAGTAAAATATTTTCAGGCTGAGGTCATGTCCTTGTTTTTTGTGTTCTAAAATTGGCTGTTATTTTTTCTGGCAATATTATTCACTTCTAGAATCTAGGACCAACGGTTTTTCTAAAGTCCTTGGACCTGAGGTCGATGCACCCCTTCAATACATGATTTGTATTAATGATTAAATATTGACTATATCCTGGCATTGACCCTGCAACCCCACATCCATTCCGAACGGCGTCCTTTTTTCCCTTTGCAGGAGTGAAACTTTCCCGGGCGTTTATCTTAGTCTTACGGAGAGCTTCGTTCGATGCTCCTCCTCTTCTTCTCCGCCGCTGGAATCCTGGAATTCCGTCGCAGGTTCCCAAACTGGGCGGAACAAAACACCAGCTGGGAAAGCATCAGGGGCATTCAGAACTAATATCGTTGCACGGCGACACCCATCAAAACCTCCTTCCAGGAGCGCTCAAGTGTTATTTCATGTTATTTCCCTGCCCGGTCTTTGCGCCCTGGCAAGTTGATTTACGTGCCCAAAACAGTGGTAAGAACTTCTCAAGTTGAGGTCTTCGGTGGCGCTGCAGGGCTAGATATGCTCCCCGCACGGGTTGACGTTGAAAGTCCGGACGCGTCAGAACCCTCGTCTGTCGAAATACCAAGCATAGACAGCGACAGGCAACCGCCTCCGAACGAAAGACATACCAACATGCAAATCTGAGAGCTGCAGGTTCCATGTCAATCTTGGGGGGTGTTGAGTGCTGGCCCATCATCAACCGTATGTTGATACTGCTGAGGAGGAAGGAAACAAAGAAACAGCCCAACATATGAAGATCGTCTCGCCTGAAAGAGGCTGGCATGAGTCTTCAGCTGGAACACCAAATACCTCAGCTGAGCTCAAACTGGAGAATGGTGAGTCGGAGCAGTGAGGAATCGTTTTTGTGGTCTGCGCGGACCATTGGTTGGTCAGCACAAGCCCAGGTGTCTGTTGGAAGAAAGCATCAGGGTTTCCCCATTTGGGAAGCTGTTGCGCACTGGCATCATGAGCAGCTACTCTTCCTGCTCCCAAGTGCAATAAGTGAGTCACTATGACTACACTCTGACTCACTAACATTGGAAGTGGACAAAAAACATAGGTCGGAAGACCATGTTCGTCTACTAACGGCGGGGGGGTGGTCGCTTCCATAATGATTTCAAGGAGTGTAACGGCCCTTTGACACGTTGGACCCCCTGTGGACCCCCCCCCCACCTTCACCCGCATGTCATCGGCCCCGGGGCCGGCGACATGTGAGAGCGACATCGGCAGTTGTGCGTTGGCAGAACGGACCACATCGAGCGAGAGGTCGAGGCATTGTGCAAATGGTAGACCAGTCAACAAATCCAACCCCCCTTGGCTAATTAATCTTCTCACTTCCTGCAGTGGTTTGATAATATAGAGACAGAGAGAGATCCATGTATACATACATTACATTACATAACAGAATAGTGCATTCCATTCCATTACGATACAATACATATGATTCATGATAGTAGGGTGGTGCAAGAAAGGTGCCTGACCTGTGCAACGGCTGCTGTAAACAGCTTCGACCTGGATGGTGCAACATGCCAGCAGGTACAGCGCAGTAGCGGAAACGCCGTGCAGCAGTGGCTCGGCGGCTAGCCCGGCAAGCACAAATGACGAGCTTGGGGTGAGGGAATGTTGCCATGGAGGTTGCTGCTTGCAGGAAATTATGGCAAATGATAGTATTACAAGTTATACATTTCTTATTTGACTTGATCCTCACAAACAAGTTCCAACAAGTCAACAAAACCTTAACGTTTGCCAATTGCAAAAAAATGCTTGAGTGATGTTTGTATATGTTTGTAGTGGACAGGCCCCCAGTAAGGGCCCCTGCGCAAAGTAAACACCCAGGAGGCAAACCGAAGCCTCAGTAGAAGCAGCTGAAAAGGGCATTGGAAAAAATCCACGGCGGGGGATCCAGCACGTTCCGAGTCTTGCTAGTTCCGAGTCTTCGGTAGGGCCCTGCTCTGCGACTGCTCTACGCGTGACAAACTCATGATCACTTGAAGAAAAAAGTGTGTATCATGAACAGTCTCACCCACTTCAGGCCACCATTTTGTGCGTAACAACTCACGGAATTCTCCCAAATCAAAAACATATATTGTATATACGTTCCTGGAGCCTCGAACACCGCCCCGGTGCCAGGCCCCAGAGCCCAACGGGAGACTTCGACCATGTGTTCCCACTCGGACTCCTGGAACAAACAGTGCATGGTCACCCCCGGGGCCCCGGGGTGAAGGCAGGAGCGCCCGGAAACCGTGCGAGACCACGGAAGAATGGCATGGAAATCTTCGAAAAAAAACATATGATATTGTATTGTATATAATAGGCTGTTGACTGTTGACGAAGAAAATCCTTCCACATGGAGATGTCTTCAGCCATTCTGGAGACGCGGGGTGGTGATGCAACATGACTCGGGCCGGACGCAAAGTCTTGCATGTTTCGCAGTTGCGTATCTCCATCTAGCCCCCCATCATTCCACAGCACCGCAACAGCACCACAACAGCGCCCTGCCACATCATATATAGACGTTTGAAACAAACACCCTTTTTGCAACTGTTGACACCTTTCGCAGGGCTTGGCTCATCTTGGTTCTACTGGACCTGGGCTCCTGTTTCAAGACATTGACGTAGATGGTGGGCAGGCCGATGGCAAAAACACTCAACGCCTCGGTGCCGGAAGTGCCGGGAACAGGCGCCGAAGCCGCCGCCAGTGAGACTGGTCAGCGAGAGGCTGTTGTCCGTACTCATTCTCTTCATGGTTCCTTAAAAACACACATCACATCGATGTGCGAATTCCTTGTGCTCGAGGTGACTCTGCTCCAGGTTCCTTTATTTTATATAAGTGATTTGTCTATCTAGCTTTCTGGCATGGTGTGGTCAGGCTGCCCCGCCATCAGGGAACATTGGGTCGCAGCACCAGCCTGGCCGGGCACGGAGCGAGCGTTCAGGAGGTCTTCACCAGCAGGAGCAAATGTCCCCAGTGATGCAGATTCCTCTCACAAGATGAAAGTAGACAAGCTTGCTGTACTCAGCAAGGACGCTACTAGGGGCTCCTGGCCGCACTACTAGGAACAAGAAGCTACTAGGGGCTCCTGGCATCGCTACTAGGAGCAAGGACGCTACTAGGGCTCTTTTTCTCTCTCTCTCTCTCTCTCTCTCTCATTCTTGCTCCAATTGATCGAATCATGAGAGGAATCTGGGCGACGGGTGCTTTTCTATCTCCCCAGCCCAGCATGTTGCGGTCAACTCACATTGCCTAATCGCTGAAGACCTCTGGCCCCAGTTCCTCGGGCCATATCCCATCTGATGGGGCGGCCCAGAACGTCCTATTTAGTTCGCCGGCGCCTGGTTGTAGGTCTGGATTGGAAAGTACAAGCCTCCAAAAAGGAAGGCACAGCCTCAGCAAATTGCTAGCTGCTAGCTGCTAGGCCAGCTATGATCTTTGTTCTGCTGGTGGCCCATGATCTACTAACGCCAGTTGGTTTCATGGCGTGCATTACAACACACCGTCAACCAAGGGCAGGAGAAAAAAAGTTTGGAACCTAAATCCTATACTATAAGCATTGTTTGTGAAAAAACAAATCTTAAGAACAAAGAATGCCTCTGAACCTGTACGCAATCCTCAAAATTCTTGACTCACCTCTCTTGGGGCACCATAAAAAGCAACGTTTCTCCACGGCCGCGCGGAACCTGAGCACCCTGCCCATGACAAGCAGGAGATTACTGAGAATAGACCTCAGAGCTCGATCACCACAACGGCTGCGCAGCTAGGGTGAGACTCACGGTTTCGTGTCCACCGACGGTTGCTTTCTTGATGATCTGAAGCTGCGTGGAGACCTGCATTCACAACCGAAAAGGACACCAAATGCGCAAATCGAGTGTCAAAACTATAGGAATCTATCAGCATGAATAGTACTTCGTCTTGTGGCTCTAGCCTTTTGCAGGTTCAAGCATATAATTCAAGACTATTGAGATCTCTTGAGCCCTTTTCTACGCCACACCGTAGAACGCGCACCTTGCACCGTCAGTGGGAGCTCGCTCTTTTCTCCTGGTTCTTGCCCTACGTTCCCTGCACACTGTCTCAGCAACACTTGCCAACATGCAGGATGCTTCACCGGCTTCACCCCATGTGAGCTCCTCCACTACAACTCTCCGACACGTCGGGCGACGAGAACAGCGGTCCGAGGGTGCCACCCGAGCAGGGTACATTGGACCACCTCAGGGAAGGCTTTTTTGGTCCAAGCGAGGTGTCGGATGGGCGGAGATCTGCGACAGGGGATGCATCTTGGGACTACATGGCCCCACATCATCGGAAAATGTCCCCAGTTTTCGGACTGCACACGTAGGAGGTAGCGGGTAGCAAAGGAAAATAAGTTTCACAAGCCTCTGGCGGAAGGTCTGCATGTGCACGTGTATATGTGGCATATTTGGACCATTGTTGATTTCTGCCCCTAGTTGGAACCTCTCGGGACCCCGTCTTGAAGAGAAAAAAACCAGTTGAACCGCCTGAATCGGGCCCCCCATCAGGGCCCGAACGACCACCTTTCTTCATGTGATCCGTCCTTCCTTCCCTTCGGTCGTTCGTTCCCCGCGTTCGGGGTCGAGAAAACCAGGTCGATCGCCACCGGGCCCATCGGGTTATTGGTTGGGGCCCGAACTGGGCCTGATCGGTGGCCAAACAAGTGGTTCAATTCACTTGACTAATTCAATGGCATCGATTCATGCAAAGGCGCACGGACTAGCGCACTCCAATGAGCCTCCATCCAGGGTCTGGCGAACATGCTTCGTTGAACATGGAGCATGTTCGATGGCTGCCGTGGTACAATGGTAGCACTTCACCTGGTAAAAGGTTGCAAATCAAACCGTACCCTCCAACTCAACTCAGGGGACGAATGATTTTTCGGCCGCCAGGGCACGCCAATCTCGTTATTCCGAATTCCGGCCTGGGACGAGCACGACGAGCGTGTGATGAGCACGTCGCACGTCGCACGTGTGAGATTTGGTCACCAAAAATCGAAATATGTGTCTGCACCGTGTCTGTCGATGTCTGCGGCCCTGGAGCAAAATCAGGAAAAAGCTCTCCAAAAACAGGAGCGACTCCAAAACATCTCAAACCATTAGGAACGTGGAGCTCCTCCGGAAAAGGAGAGGAGCCGATTCCTCTACAACCTACCATGGTTTGGTGGGGACCTGCGCTTGCCGACTTTGTCTTCTTCCTCTCCGCCCCCAGGGGTTTGCACACCGCGAGTGCCACGAGGACATCATGAAACGACCAAGGGCATCATCACGGAAGCCTTCGAGAGGAACCCGACGAAGTCAACGGCAAAAACCAACGGCGAACGAAGAGATGCGGAGAACGCCTGTCTTTGCGAAGAAGCATTGCGACACTGCACGAGACTGGCACAAGACCACTTGTGTCTGTGTGTATGCACTGCCGCTACACATCGGGTAAGGAATCGCATGTTTGCTGGATGCACGGATGAATTCGGTTGCAACACTCGAAATATCAAATCCGAGTAGGGATCCGCAATATTCTCCCAGACTGTGGGCAAGGTGGGGGAGCTTGTGACTCACAGCCTTATCCACACGGTCCATACCACATCTAAGAACCCACAAGGGGCGCCATGGAAAAGCTGGTGCGTCGCTCGGGCGCCCACGATGCAAAGGAGCATCTCCACCTGCTCGGGCCGGTGTTCATTCGGCCTTTCACCAACTGTCGAGCCAAAACCTGGAGCCCTGGTCGCCCTCGTAGGTTGACCGTATTCTGTTCATGTTCGGTGGTCAACCTGAATTCGTGCCATGACCCAGAGCCTAACTGACACGAACAGAGGCCATGAATCATGGCATTCTCCTGGAGGGTTGCCATCTTCCACGAGGCCAATTTAACATCGCCAGTGGAATTTGCCAGGCACAGAGTGGAGAACAAGAGATCGCTCGAGAGATCGACCCACTTCGCCGGCAACCCACTTCAACCCACCTCCACATCCTCCAAAATCTATGCAACATCCCTAGAAGTCGAAAGACTAATATTTTGCCCCAGTGACGGCCCAGTGACGTAAAGGATGTTCCCTTTCAGGTGCCCTAAAGACTCAAGACCTTTCTTGTTATATAGTCTTTGACTCTCAGGGACATGGCATACATACAATATATACATACACACACACGATATATATATATATATATACATACACTGTGTATATATACACACTATCACTACCCAGCCGCCCGCCCACCCGGAGTGAGCAAATCCCTAGCCAGGTGTCCCGGCCACGTTCCCGAAGGTCGCGTTCAACAAGCCCCCGGCCGTTTCGCCGATGCGGGCGGCCACATCCTGCGGAGAGAGGTGAGAGAGGGGCCAGGGCTGGCGGTGTGTGGCTGCGAGCAGCGCAGAGGTGTGGAGGATGTGGATGAGAGCCATCCACAGAGAGCGGAGGACAGCGGATCGAGGTGGGTGGAAAATGCCGGCACCTTAGAGTTTGGAGGGAAATTAAACCCCTAGACTTCCGGCAACGCCTGTTGGAAGCCATGGAACGGCCTCGTCGGTTCACCAGTTCCGTTCCGTCATGACATATGATTATGTCCAGCCGATCGAGAATTTCCACCGCCATGGTGGTAGAGCAGGTCAGTCAAGGGCCTAGCGGCCTATTGCGAACACCAAATCACAAAATCATCATCACATGTGCTCGGATACCTGTTACACATCCTTATATACATCCTTGCACCTTCTCACCACTTCCCTCCTCCCCAGCATCGGGTCTCCCTTATAAGCCTTCTTTCTCCCATGCGCCTTCTCACCGTCCGACCGCCTTTTCCCGGCGTTTGTGGACCCCACGTGGGTCGCCTGCCCGCCTCGCCCAACAACTCGCGCCCCCCGCCGCCGCGGCCCAACCGCGGTTGGGCGCCGCGGCGTCTCGCGTCTCCTCCGTGGACTTGCCGATGAGCCAGGCCAAGGGGATGATCGCCAAGAAGTTGAAGGTAAAGACCTCGTAAGCTTTCGACGCACGCCACGCGGAACCGCGCAACGACTCCGCGCGGACGTCGCGGACCCCGGTACCGACCTTGGCGGACCTTGGTCGCGCGTGAACCCGGTACCGTCCTCGGTCTTCCAAGTCGTTTTGGTAGCGTGAATTTCACCACAAAATGGCACCAACATGTCTATCTCGTTGGGCCTGAAGATGCAGCATTGCTTCCAAACCGTTGGGTTCCCATGACCTCCGGCAATCCTTGGGACGTCACGTATACGTGTGGAGGGCCCCCCACAAAGGACGGACGAAGGGTGGTGGGGGGTCTTCAGGGGAAACGGGAAACGTGAGGGGTCTGCCACAGGGTGTTGCAGGGGTGTTGCAGAGGTGCAGCTTCCATCAGCTTCCTACCCTCTTCTTGGTGCGCGCCTCCGGGCCAAAACGACATATCCCACGGTCAGATTTGGAACAAATGGCTGTGCAACGTGGGAGTGGGAAAAGGTGCAGAGCGCCAGCTGCTGTGCTCTCCCAATGCTTCGAAAGCAAAACTGATTCTTGATGAAGCTACTAGTAGCTCCTGGCATCGCTACTTGGAGCAAGGACGCTACTAGGGGCTCCTGGCCTTACGACTAGTAACAATAACGCTACTAGTAACAAAGGGCACCGCTACTAGTAACAATGGCATTACTAAACAAGTAACAAGAAGCTACTAGGACCCAAATTTGGAGCAGCTGGTCCTCCCAAGTGGCTGGACCAGCTCCAGCCATGTTTCGCTTGGCCAAGTTGCATAAGTCGGGTTCATCTCAAGCTGGTGCGCCACCAGGCCAATGGGCACAAAGACTAACCTCGCCAGTCATGCCATCAATCACCAAAAACCCGACCTTTACCTAGCAAAGTCTATGAGGATGTTGGCATTCATCAATGAATTCCGTTTCCCGGCTCTCTGCATTTCTTACAAGGCAATCTGCATTGGTTCTTGCACCGCTCTACGCTCTTGGCAGCAGACAGGGCTGTCAGGATCTTGTTGTCACCGAAGATCGTGGCAAAGCCCTGAGACTGAGGAGGCTGAACCAGGGCGATGGGGCAGGTGGCTGACTCAGCTACCATATGCTAAAGGAAAGTGTTCTAGTCTATGGCATCTATGGTTGTTGGAGGGGTCCGCAAGATATAGAAATTGCATGGTCCGAGTCACGCTCTCCAAAACATGTGAGGAGATGCGACTAAACCTACGTTCTTTGTATCGTATCGAATCATATCTGTTTGCCAAATACCGCGATAAACTCTAGTCACAGCAGTTCCTGCTTGAATGCCAAATCGCCAGGCAGCAGGGGATTTGCGCTTACATAGTGTAAATAGTGTGTCTGCACATTGACATTCACAGTTCTCGAACAGGAATCATGTTGAAACCGTTCAGCAACGGAGCCTCTTCTTACCACGCCACATGCACAACTCATTCAGATCCAAACCTGGTGAGCGCCCAGACTCCATCCCCGTCCCAGGTGGCTCAGGTCGGGTCCTCCAAATCGCTTTTGGGCGTTTTGGCTTCATCCCCTGGGCGATGGTCGGATTCGGATCCAGTTTTTGACCATCACAGGTTGGCCTGCTAAGAACGGTGGAGACTCTCTCTCTCTGGAGTAGGCACTTACCAACACAGTCCATGCTCCCATGATTCACGAATCTTCACAAATGGTGGTCACATGGGAAAGGGTCGGTGTATCAAACATCGGTCTTTTGAGTCGTGGGCGGAAGGCAGCTCAGTAAGAATCCAAAAGCAGAAAGAAAAAAAAGAAACGACCAGGGTGCCAGGGGGGTGAGGGATCACCAACTTCTGCCGCGAACCGTTCGACGTAACGAAGGGCTGATGGTTCTCGACCAACAGTCCAGGCGTCCACACATTCGAGACCAACCCATCCCGTCCGAAAACTCATGTTTCATCATGTCTCCAGTTGGTCTCATGAGCAACCCCATCCCCATCCTTTCTCTCTTCTTTTACCTCCCCTTCCCCACGCATCCCGTCCGAACAAGGTCTCCCGGCCATTCATCGATGTAGGAACCGGTTGGTATTCTTGCCGCCTCAGCCGGGTCGGCCGATCGATTCCGCGATCCGCTTGAGCTGGTTGGTGTTCCATCGCATTCGTCCGCGTGGACCCGCGTGGACCCGCGTGGCCGGGGACACATCGTCCGGGGCAAATCAGGGACGCTCAGAAAACATCACGTAGAAGTGGAATTCGCGGCCAGTGACTGTAGAGGAAAGATGAGGAAAGTAGTCTTCCAGGAACTTCCAGGAACTTTCACACTTCCATGTTGGTGAGTCAGGGTATAACCTTTGCAACTGCGAGCCAGGAAATGATCACCTGTGGCCAATACCAGATCTAGAGGGTCTCCCCTCAGGACCATCGTCCACCGCTGAGGAAGCAAATAAGGCAACACGAAGCGTTTCCACTCACGTGGTTTATATAGTGCATGGACTGCACCCGAAGCCGAGCACGCAAGTTGCCTACATGACTTGTTCCATCGCAAGTGTCCACTGACAGGATTGGTTCCTTATGCACTCACTAGAGCCACACAGACCGCGAAAGTGACCTCACCATCCCCACCCCCCCCGCGGAAACCAGAAGAAAGGCCCTCCCACCTTCGCACGAGCTTCCTATACTTTCGTCCTTTTCTCTAGTGGCCGCCTCTCTTCCGGCTGAAGGAGGATAAGCAGGTTTCTACCTGGACGAAGTTGGCCACCTATAGTCCTCCCAGATCCCAGCTGGCTCAGCTGGCTTCGGGTCACCGTGCCCCAGCTTGGAGTTGGTTCTCCTGAGCTCCTTCTGCGCCTGCATCGCCGAAGCCATGACGCTCCGCAGAGTGCCTGGGATGCGGAAGGGGGAAGCTGAGCAAGACTTGTTCAAACATCCAAATGCTGAAGAGGTCTGCACCAGCTTCTTCAAAGTGACCGAGCTTGATCCCCTGGTTTGAGGTCACAAACAGGCCTGGAAATGGTCACCCTGGATTGCAAGAGGGTGTTTCAAGCATCTACAGAGACCAAGAGTAGAACAACTGTTTCCATTGCAAAATGCTGGCAAGACGTGTTCCTTTTTCGAGACCAAGAGGGTGTTTCCTGATGGGGGTCCATGGGGGCCTTCATGGGGCGTAACAGGAAAGAATATGGCATAGACCTGTGACGAAAGCAACTCTAGGAGCGCTGGAGCGCTTCCCAGCTGCAGAAAGATCAATCACCTGGGAAAGACTTCTGTTGTCCACAGCCATGGGTGATGATCATCATGATCCCAACTCTTGTCCACGAAAGATTGATGAGTTCCATCACCTGACCATTTTGAGATCTTCTCACGTGGACCACTTTCTATCTCATGCCCCCCTATATAGCCCCATGAAAAAGGCTGCACGTCCTCACTAGCTGCGAGCCGCAAGTAGCCCACTAGGCCCTCGCACATGTGCAGGCCAAAGAAGCCTGGCCAATGCTGAATCAAACGCTTAATTAAAATCGACATGCTATCAAACCAGCGGCCCCCATTCTGTGGCCAGGCAAAGGTACAGTAGCTGACTGCAGGGCTCATCTTAAACCGACAAGCAGACAAGCCAAGGACGCTCTCCCCTGCCTTTCCCGAAACGTGAGCTGAGCTGGGCTGCAGTGCAGGAAACGGAACGAGGAACGTTTGCTTATTGAACTTGAGTGGGCTCGGCGAAAGTGAGAAGTGACTGACACTTCGACTTCTATTAGTCTGTCCCAGGCAAGGGTTGGGTCTCTAATGTCATAGATCTGACAAGGTTTCAGCAGAAGGCATCTTCGGGGCACAGTTTGTGGGAGGCGCTCAATGTCGTGAGGTGGCTGTTGGCTATGCTGTTGATCTTTTCATCTCTTGGTCGCCCATAAATCTTGAGACTCCTCGTGGCAGCGAATCCGGTCGAATCCGCACTTGACAAAAAAATGAAGGAAAGTGACATATGACCTGTGAAACTATGGGTGGTAAAAAACAATCTATGTCATCAGGTATTCAGCCTATATGCCAGACCTCCTATCTCATCAAAACATACCTGGCGCATTGATGTTGTCTCACAAATGTTGTCTCGATTGCATGATTTGAAGAGGTATATATTTGACATTTAAACTTAAGCACACATGACCTAGGAGCCTGCCGCCAACATAGCATGTGGCAACTAGGGGTAGGATGGGGTAAAATAGGAAAACGATTGTATGAATTCCGGAGCGGCAACCTAGTTTTTCCTGTGGGAAAACATGGAAAAACTAAAGGAGCGCGCCTAAGTCATGGAAGCGTTCATCAGTCATATTGTCTCCTTGGGCACGGTATTGATGCTATTCCTTGTTTGAGTTATGTACTGGCAAAAGGTCCGCACCTCCTAGGTCCTCCTAGTGTGTACTACATTTTGCAACCTTGTCTACCGACTGATGACTCAAAATTAGAAAACGCTGTGGCCCCCAACTCCTATGCCACTAGCCCAGCAAATTCCTACGTCATTAGCCCTCAGTTGTACTAGCATTGCTTGATCGCAGGCACGAGGATCCGCGATGCTGTGCCTCGCGGCTGACCGGGCGCATGGCACGGCCACAGCCGGATCAAGCGTTCAGAGTTCACTCCTCTGCTCGTTCACTAGGCGTTGGAGCGGCTTCGTCTGGAGCGGCTTCGTCTGGAGGAAAACACCTCGTCCCATCGGTGTCCGCCCAAATCCACGGGTCGCAAGATGCTGTTGCATGTATGTCACGGCGTGTCTTGTTGCCCAGACACTTTCACCACAGGTCCCGAGAAAATCTCACTTTGCTCATGAGCTCTTCTCGGGCTCACTTTGCTTGGGATTTTCTCACTTGGAGCCTTTTCAGGAGAAGTCTAGCTTTAGCTCTCCTTCGTTTCGAGTGCTGGGAGTGAGGATCTCGAGGATTCTCACCGTCAAAGACCACGGGTCGCAACCGTCGAAAGACTTCAGATCAGTGACACCTGGAGAGTCGGCTGTCTTTCTCATGTCGGACCCGTCCAGGAGCGGTCGGACCGCCCATCGGAGGTTGAATGGGACTTCGGCTGAGCCTCCAACTGGACGTGTTGAGACTTGAAAAACCACCCCAAAACCTGCAACATGGGGGCTGAACATGGCATCCAAGGCTGCCCATCGGCGCAAATCTATCTTAAGATTGATGAGCTTCCTTCTGCGAGTGCAGGGGGCACTGATTCGGGCGCGGGATCGGCTTTTCTGAGGCCAGACAACGGTGTTAGTTCACAACCGTGCGTACCTGGGCGCAAAGAGAAGCAGCCGAGGTTGACAGAGGCCCCGGGCAGCGGCCGATTCACAGCATGTAGCAAATGCAGGTTTCCCCCGTGACTACATCTGATGCGGGACCCACCGTTCCAGAAGTGGAATGCAAGCTCTGGTGGGCAATTCTTCCGACTGTACATCGAGCCAGACAGCAGACATCCAAAAGAGCCGTAGAAGGAGAAGAGCTGCACCTACCTGGTCAGTAAACACAGGCAGAACAGAAATTCCATACCCTTAGCTGCCGACCACGGCCAGGGGGCCAGGGAAGGAAGCACAGGGACTTCGACTCCCTCACTGGACACCTGGGCCTCAATGTTGATGGCAAATGATCATCCGTTCAAGCAGCGCCAAAACTGCCAGAGCAGTACAGCACGGAATAGGTTGCTCCCTTCTTGAGCTGTCCTTTTGTTGCCGGGAGGCGGCAGCGGCCATCAGTTACAGGGCATGGGGAAGACCAAATAATGAACAGCGTGGGCGCGAGTGGCCTGATCAGCTGCTATCTGACTCCGGACACCTCCCCCAAAAAAGAGTTGTTCCAAGGCGGAAGATCTGCAGGTGCGAAAAAAAAAAAAGCTTCGGTCTTCATAGTCAGCCTATTCAACGGGTATAGGCAAAAGGGCTTTCATGTTCTAAGAATTCCCTGAAACGCCATCCGCTGGCACGAACAACCACCAAGCAGCTTGGTGGATTTGAAGCCATCCCAGTCTGGTCCTGTCATGAGTATCCGTGAGTGCTGCTACGGTCGGACACCTGCTAACATGTGGACCGTGAAAATGGAACACATTGATATGCATGTGGCCTTCTGCTCATCATCCCCATCCTTGTCGAACATCCGAACATCCAACCTCCTCCTCTTTTTCCGACGCAAAGAGATCAGCATGTGCCGTGAAGCCTTCTAGGCAGGAGCCTTCTGATCGCGGCGCCGCTCGCGGTGCCGCTGTCAGGAAGCAAGCACTCTGTGCACTCTGTGCATGCATCATCAACTGGGAGCTGATAAATTCAGGTGCTGCACCCTGTTGAACTCCAGCATGTGTTTTATGCTCTGTTCTGCTCTGTTCTGCTTGCTTGCGATCCCTCTCAATCTCTCTAAGATTGCACCAGGTTCGGCCAAGCGGAGTTTCCCCAATGGCCAAATCCGAAGCTGGCCTGGCACGCAGCTTTGGTGGAATTGTGGCTGTGAAGCATGGTGAAGCGCTGTAATTAAAGAATACATCAAATCTGCCGTTGTCAAAGAGCAAATGTCTGCCCGAATTGCAATCACTCACCCATGAAATAGATTAGGGCATATGTGGTGATTGATCATTTACTACATCCTTGTCTGCCAAATATGTGGTTACCTTTTGCGACACCAATTGAATTGGGAGACCATGATCATCGAAAGGTTTGGGAATAGCTAGGCCGTCTATCTACCCAGTGCCGCCTTGACATCTTGCCTCACCTGGAGTCACAGAGCAAAAAAAACGCTCAGTCTTAGAGTCTTAGGGCCTCCAGAACGGCCTCCCCAAACGTTGTATACAGCATAGGCACATAGAACTATATAGAGCCACAAGACAATCGAAACAGGTGGCATGAAACAGCATCAATCATCTGGTTGCTGATGATTCTATAGTACCGTGCTGTGAACAAAAAAGAATTGCCGGCGGTCGCCATCTTTTTGGGATCGTCTTGCTTGCAGAATGTGTTGAAATAGTGAGTTGCATCTTCCAAGGTGCTTCTCATGGAGGTTCCAATCCTACGTCCCCCGCTCGAAGGACACAACCATATAAACCCTCTACCTGCAGACCTCTGACCATCCGGTTGAGGCCACGACGCAGCCGCTGCATCTCCAATACCAGTGAGATCAGACACAAACGAAAACGGATCCTTTTGCCTCGGAGTCGACGGATCGAGTCGGCGGATTCAACGCCCAACCCACCTCTCCGAGTCTTTTTGACTCGACTGGCGCCGATGGGAGGATTGCACTTGCATGCATTCGAGATCATTGATAAAGTTATGGTCGTCATTTTATTTGGGCCGCACCCCGAGATTCAATGATATTTAAATATACTTGTGTTTTAAATGTTTATTTAGGCATAAAAAGGCCGAATCTTCTGCCCAGTCTTCGTCTCCAAGCGCAGGACTTTGGAGTCGTCTCCAAGACCGAGGGGATGTATGGCCTCACCGGCCACCGACGTTCGTCGGCCACCAAAAGGCATGTCCTTCGGACGGTGGAAGGGCTGAGGGGCCGACGCTTTGGCCGCAGTCGGTTGAGCCATGGGCCTAAGGCCCAGCTCAAGCAGCAAGCGAAAAGCAAACTCCCAAGGGGAGGACAAACGTTCATAACATCCAAGTATTACAAAATGCTGGATCAATGCCAGATCCTTCAATGATCCTTCATCCCTGAACCAGGTTTTGGTGGTGCATCTAGAAATGAAACATAAGCGGAGCCAATGTTAAACAGGAATGCTGAGATCCGGTCTGTCCCAAGCTGCTGGCGCCTGGCCATTTGGCACGGGCCGCATTCCGATGGTCACTGTGTTGGTTCACATGTGTTCACATGTGTTCAACCCTGAAATGTTCATCGGGTAAACTTCTGTAGAACTCCTCTTCACCAATTTCGGGGAACATGAGACGGTGTTTCTTTTTTCACTTGTAGCATCGTGCAACGCTCGGAAGGATGCGTTTCTGGCGAAACCTTCGCAGGTCGCTTGGAGAGGACCCGCCTCCATAGCCGCTGCTGGGCACCCCACTCGCGGCGGGTGACAGAAGAGTAGTACCTTGGCGTCGGACTCGGGTGCAAACATACCTGACATGTGGCAAGCTTCACTGCATTTGACTCATCCAACCGGTCCATGAGTCACGATTCACTCACATGTCGAATAGCAAAGGCGTTTGCGCGCCAATGCTTGCATGGACCGAAAGGTCAACTAACTCAGCAAAAGGTTGAAGAACGAAGGGGCGAGAAAAAAAGCAAAAACATCAAGCAACTTGCCTTGCTGGTGTGCCTTACTGTTATATTTAACATTTATGTGTTCCTTTAGGTTGAAGTTTTGGCTGAATCATAAGCCTTCCCAGGCCTGAAGCAAATGTCAGGGACATTTTGTGGTTTCCCCTTCTACCACACAAAATCACAAAACCACATTGTCTTTATTTCTTATCTGCTTCTTTTGGCATCTTCCACTCCGACGCATGTATAGTTATCTATCTATCTATCTATCTATCTATCTGCACAGGTTGTCGGAGTGTCTCCAGCTCAGGGGCTTCCAGGCAGTGTGGCAGCGCTGGGATTGAACGGTATGGCGCCACTGCCCAGGCCGCCGCCCAGGCCGCCGCCCAGGCCGCCACCAAGGCCCGCGAGGGACGCGGCAGCGGGAGCTGGAGGAGCTGCTGGAGCTGGGGACAGCAGGTCCAAGTCCTACAAGGTGAAGAAACTGGGCTAGACAGCACCAGCTAGTTGACAGCCAGCTACTGTAGTTGATTCTTTGGTGAAACGGTGAAAGAACACCAACGTCCATTCTTTTAAACTTATGGGCCGTCCCTTTAAAGAGTCTAAGATTGCTCGGCACCAACGATCTTCAGCAAAACCTGCATGCCTTCGCAACATGGCGACTTTCAACGATCTTCCAGAATCCAACTCTTGCACACCATCACGCCATCCTGTGGCAGACTTGTTGATATTGGCTGCGCCGCTGGTGCACCCAGCAAATCCACATCGCTCAGCAATGCTGCCGGTGCCGCGGAAGCTGCGGGCGGTGCCGCAGAAGCCGCGGCCGGTGCCGCGGAAGCCGTGGCCGGTGGTTCCGACATATCCAGCAAGTCTGGGGCAGGTGCTGCTGCCTCAGGGCAGGTTTCGATGGCACCTTGACCGACTTCAACTTTGGTCGACTTAGTGATGGGTTCTGCGGTTCGTTCAATCCTTCCTCTCCTTTTCGTGTTTGGTTTCTTCTTGTCAATGCCAGTTGGAACACCTATGCTGACACCCGGAAGAACTCCATCGAATTAGACTCGGAAAATATTCGTATACCCTGTGTCCCTACCAAACTCTCCGTGATCATCGCACGCGCGATTTGCTTCTTTGTTTTACCTTTGAGATCTCGTGCGGGCCTCAGAGTGTTCTGCAGAAAAAAAGATGGGGGCCCATCATTGCACCGAACTGGGGGTAAACTTCCATCTACTCAGAAACCGCTGTAAAATGAAGGAGTTCCTGCAACTGAGATCCCGTGCCTTTGCAGGTTTGGCAATCGGCTTCTCCTGAGCTTTTCTCAGCACGTCACAACTGTCTCACAGGAACTCACCCCAACTAGTTCCATGAAATGTTGCGGAATGTGCCCAAAAAAAGGCTTCCAGGCCTTCTTTGCAGCCTCCTCCTCGTCAGCTTTCGCACCACTCTCCTGCTTTCGTGGAGACTTCCGGCTCTGTTTTCAGCCCGTTTTGGCCCGCCAGCTCTCGTCCAATTGCACCGTCTGCGGGGCGTGCGGGGTTCGGCATTCCCCCAATTGACTTTCGTTCATTGCATGAGTCACTAGACGACTTCCCCCCCCCCAAAAAAAAATGGCGCTTCCTGTAGGCTCCTGTAGGCTCCTGTAGGTTTGCGCCACAACGGGGTCGACGACGCCACGAAACCCGGAGTCCTCGGTGTTCTCCTTGACTCTTCCGCTGAAGAGCTTGATGACCTCAGGTCGCTGAAGAGTTGTGTCGGATATGTTTGTATCTCCCATTCTTTCTGGACCAGTGCAGAAAATGGTGCAACAAATCAAACAAATCGCCTCTAACACGAGATATAACTCAGTTCAAGGCTCAGTTGGAGGCTTCAACATCTTTCTCACGCTGGAAAACTCACAAGCTCACACTTGGCCTTTTTTATGCTTTCTCCGTTAGACTCCGTCCGAATCCCCTCACTGGCCGCGCCGCGCCGGCTGCGAGGCCCCCGTCCGCCCCCACCTCCGTGGCTTTGTCGGCACATTGCTGCACCTGCGGGCCGTTCTGCACCGTCGGGTTCAGCTGCGTGGGTCGGGTTCGGCTGCGTGGTTCGGCAAGAAGTGTTCAGCCGTTGGGCGGTCCACCACCCGCATGCGTCATAAGAGGTAGAAAAAGAGAACGAAGGTCGGTCAGAAGAATCGTCTGAAGAATGGCCCTGGCCCTGGCCCTGGCATACAACCCAATGGATGTCTTGCACTAAGGCCAGATCTAATGATCCACCAAATGTCCTGGAGATAGCCTTATATTAGATACCCTTAGATCATTGGAATGCATCCAATGGGGAGTTGACCGAACGAACAGGCCACAGAACAAGCCGGGCCCCCGTTGGAGTCGGTGGCCTCGGTCAGGTGGAGGATGATGCCTTTGGCTTGTCCCATGACATTCATGGCCACCTCCTGTCGGTGCGGCAACGGAGCAACTGGTGACACATCTTTAAGCAGGTGAGCTTCTTCTTAACGCGTCCTGATGCGAGATTCTGGAATTTCGCCGGGCAGTTTGTGGGAAGTTTGCCACTTGCTGGTGACACATGCAAGAGTGATTTCATGAAACTTGATAGCTCAAAGTGTAATGTGAACCGTGAGGCCGAGGAGATGATGCCGCACTTCTCCAAACAGCATTGACTGAAAGACTGGAAGTTGCAAAATGCTCAACAATTGGCGAAGCAACAACTTGCCTGCATTCCTACCAGACCCCGGTTTCCGCTCGCTCCTTGCCGGCCCCCTCTTTCTTGTAGAGATGCTCCATGGCATACAACACCTGAGGTTCCATCACTCCCCAGCCAGAACACACCAAAAACGCAAAACTCACCCAACCATAGAACCCCTGAGCGTCTCACACGAAGGCGTGGTTGCCATGATGTGTCGCCTCGGAGGCGACCAAAGATCCACATCACCGTCACCAGATTGATGTGAAATGATGGGAGGGTCGGATTTTGGGGGGCCTTTTTGTGGGATTCCGACACTTGAAAGTGATCCAGACACTCCATTCCCAACATTTGGATTCCGACACCATGTTGTGATCCATGAGTCCGTTCCCAACGTTTGAAAGTCATTGAGAGCAATCCTTTTTTTGGCGTTGAAAGTGTTAGAACTGTTGGACACCACTGACTTCATATTGACTTCATTCCTGCCACGCAGCCGCTACACATCCTGCTGGTTGAGATGGTGAGCTAAACCAAGCCGCTTCAGTTCATTCAGGAGGGACGTAGGGGGAAGGCCAAGAAGATCAAAGGGCGTGGTTTTGGGGCTCCTGACTCCCCCGGAGGTATCTGGTTTAAACAGTGTTGGGCCCGTCCTCCTCTGCGGTGGAACCCTAGGCATGATGGGATCTGCCATGGCAACGCCAAGTGGCCATTGGTGAAGCTGAGTTCATCGTAAAAGGCACCTGACATTAAACTAGGGGAACAAGCAAAAGCAGGAGACAAGCCTGGTTGGTGTAGATATGTCGAAGCTGGCGAAAAGCTTTGGAGTTGGAGATTGCAACAAATCTGATTGCTAGAAACAGCACACCACGGTCACCATCCTCCAGCTTCTTCCGGCTTCTTTCATCCGAAAAAAACGGCTACTGGTCTACTGGTTGCTAGCAGCAAGGCAGTTTCGTGCATCCGAGCCGCTGGTCAAGGCGATGGGCTTCAGTTCCTTGATCTTGGCCCAAAGCTTGTCTAGCTCCTGTGAGTTGGGCCTCACCTCGAAGCCAGCGCGTGGGGCGCGCAACCGGTCGAGGTCGCCCCCGAAGCGATCCGAAACCCCGAGGATCCCGTGGAGGGAGAAAAGGACAGGAAAACATATTCACTTTATATGGATGCATATGAACCCGAAGTCCCAGGTGGTTCAAGATCAGTGACGGCTGGTCATCAGCATTGATGCCTGGCTGATAAACCCTGCTGTGTGGCCCCCTTCGCCTGCTGAGCTCCGCCAAATCGGTGCCCCAAAAGACTGGGGAAGCGGATCGGATCAACAGAGTCGGGAGACATTCAACAGTTGTGGAACCATGCGATGTGTATGGCTTGGGTCTATCCTAGCAAACCTATCTGGGCCCAGTGGATGATGATGGTTGCAGGCCGAAATCTCAAAAATAGTGACATAGTGATTTGCTTGTTTACTGGTCCTGTTACAGGTAAGTTCGCACAGACCCAAGGTATGGCCTTCCTTGCATATGCTCACAGAAGTGACTCTGCACGCTGCAGAAGTGACTCTGGCGGCCGGGTATTTCTGGCAGAAGTCAGAGATGGCACTGGACGCTTCTTGCCTGCACCACAGGTTTGCGAGAGTCCAAAGTCTCCTCTTACTTGTTCTTTTGGGGAACGGTGCAATTCGGCGACGAATCCTGGGGACCAAAGTAAGGGTACGGTGACCAGCCCGTAACGCATCGCCAGCTCAAAAACATGGTTCTGGAGCACCTGTTTCGGGGTCCATTTGCAGCGGGTGATGCGCACAACCTTCTCGACACCAGCCAGACTCTGGATCATACAGGGTTGAAATGGGTTGAAAGATGTTGAAAAACATGAATGATGGGGCACTGCTAGACCTCCAGCAAGTATGGATGCACGCACATGTCTTCTTTCACACAATTTGTGCACTTTAAACTTTTAAACGCCAACCAGGTCGCTATACTGAGCTACGCCCATCATTCAAGCGGCTTGGTCCATCATTCGCCGTGTCATGCCAGCACCTGGACCGTGGAGACACATTTGCGATGCTCTTCTTCATGGCAGCTGCCTGTCAGCCACCCAAAAATGCAAAGCTCTCAACATTCTCACAGACTCTCACCCTTCCTTTGTCATCCTTTTTCGATCTTTTGCGTTTTACGGTGCACAGCTTGGATCCACTAGCTTCTCCATCTGAGGTCTTGTTGGTACAGCGTGGCCAATGAACTGAATCTCTCAGTCTCTCACGAAAATAGGTCTTGTCGGTTAGAAAATAGGTCTTCCACTCTGTAGCCGCTATCCAAAACTACTCTACAGTACTCAATGCAAATGATAGCGCGGGGAATGGTAGACAACTCTAACCAGTCTACATTGCCCCCACACTCTATCTTAATTGAGCTGCAGAGATGGGGAGACAGACTCTTGATGGATTCACTCAGTCTCTTTTTTGGATAGGTGCAGGAATTTGCAGGAACTTCTGGACCTTCTTTGGGATGGTAATCAGTAATCCGGTCTTGACACCAGTGAGCCCGCATCACACCGCTTACCTACCCAAGTAGGTTTCAATTCTGCATTTCGTTTGTAGCCTTTCTGCTGAACTGCACACTACCCTACACCTGGATAGTCTTTCTAGTCCACATTGCCCTTGTTTTTTCTAGGCCGGTGTCTTCATTTCAGTTGTTTTCCTCAACTGTTCTTTACCAAGGGGGCACATCGCAATACAAACAGCAGATCCAAGGATGGAGCCAAGTAAGGTAGAGTAAAGGGATTTGAAATGCCCATGTCGTTTGACAACCTTTGCGTACTGCTACTCGCCATGAACTCAGAACTCAGCTTAACACTCCGTTCTATACCACCGTAGAGTTCTGCTTCATGCTGTTTGATTTTCTTATTCGTTCATTCAGTGAACCGAATGACAGTGATAGGGAGGTAAGGTAGACAAGGGACTCTCTCTCTCTCTCTATCGACTGAGCTTGGTCGAGTGTATCACCCAGCACGACCGTATCTCGGAGATGTTTCAATCACACGGCTCGAGAAGAGCATCTATTGTCATCTAGTATCATCCTATTATCATCTATTACTATTATCATCTATTACATCGCTCATTTCATAAGAGGTTCGCTGTCCATCTGCGAACCGATGACAACCCACAAGTGTCATGGATAGGCGAAGAATCAACTCGGTCAGAACTTCCACTTCAATCACCACATCCGCCCCTCCCACCTTTTGCCGCTCTGCCTCTGCCTCATCGCCACTCTCATCCTCTGAAGGGACCGACCGTGAGGGACAACCTTCTCTTCTGGACCGGAAGACGGTTCCGTCCGAGAGACGATGAGACTACAAACGACGAGACGACGAGTGTCGAGGATGTTCCCTGCAGAACTCGAGTCTCGGGGCACCTGTTTTTTCAGTGCGAAAACAGAACGAAGCAGTTCAGACCGAACGAAGCAGCAGGACTGGACTGGAAGTGTCTAACCATCTGTGGATCGACATCAATCGAGAGTTTCGAATCCAACGACCGGGCGGAAAAAGGAAGTGGACTCAGTGGACTCATCAGGGCAAGACCACCATTTCACTGAAGCTTCGCAGCATTTCGCAGAAGCATCTTGGCAGTTTCCCTTCCAACCGCCAAACCAACCTGCAATCATCTGAACTCGACCCCGCCCCGCTCCTCTAGGCCAACCGCGGAAGCAACGAAAGACTTGAAGTCCGAAGCCATCTCGGAGATGTCCTGCGAAACCAAGACACTATCTGAAGATTCTCGGCTTTTTAGACTTAGATGTCATCTCTACTGCGGCTCAGTATGCTTAGAGGGTACTCTTCCACTTACCCCCTCCCTTGGCACTTGACCCGCCTCCTTTCTTCGGCGTCGCCTGACTTCTGGCACGAACTTGTTTGAACAATTTTGGTTGGTTGATTTCCAAGGTTTCTCTGCGCATGTTCCTCGCAGCTCTTGATTCGATTGTTTCTCACACAAAATGCACCTCCAAATGCGACCACGAAACAAAACAAACTGCTGACCGTCTGAGTCTGTTTGTTGACATGTGTCTCCTTTTTATGAGGCAGAGAGCCTTGAACGGTTCCATTTCCCATCTCTATGTGACCTGACAGATGTTTTTCAGTTGGCCTTTGTCCTTCAGTCACGGATCACATCCGCTCCTGTGTGGCTGCATCGATGACATCGCCCAGGCTTAATGCCACATTGTCCAAAGCGCTACTCACAGCTGGACCAGACCTGAGTCGCAGTATGCGTCACTAGTCACCCTCCAATATACAGCAGGTAGGTAGGAGGTAGGAGTGAAAACCATCCAAAGAAATCGGAACGTCCTGAAGTTCATTTCTAGCTCTTTGTGGTCACGGATTTGGCCATAAGTGCTAGCTTGGTCTCTCCTGCGGGTTGGTGCACCAAAGACCCTGAGTCTGAGGGGACAGCCTCCTTTGCCAGTCAATGGATCATCTTTGCCAGCAATGACACTCCCAAAAACAAACATACGAGTGCAACAGATCTGGGCCCATTTCCTCTCCCCATGACTACTTTAAGGGAGCGCGCGTTACTTTCAACAACTGGAAGTGGTGGCAACCATACCAAATCAAAGCTCATCTGCTGGTGGCACAGCGGTTAATCACCACATGCAGGGCTGCTTCAAATCTACAATCTACAGGTACGGTATGACATGTCGCATCTCCTTCAGGCATAGTCATAGTCATAGTCATCAGCAACACATGCTGGGTTCGTGCCAGCTGGAGGTCAACAGCCCATGTCCCCGTCCCCAACCTCCAACACCTGCGACAGAAGACCCGAGCCCTTGGGTTTCCTCGCCCCATGTCCGTCAATGAAGCCATGGCCCCCCAGAAGGAGGGCGTCTCCTCGCTGCCCTGGCTGCAGGGAACCGCGGCAGGAGTCAGTCGCCCAACGAAACAGTGCTTCATGATGGTGTCTGTGTGTTATCGGAGACGGGCGCGCAGCTTGGGGGCCGATGTGCAGAGTGGGGACCGGTGGAGAAGCGTGGAGAACCCAGACGGCTGAACAGGGTCGCGTCTTTGGTACTGTACAGCATGTAGTGATTGAAGGCGAAAACAGTGCTGCTTTGCCCTTCTCCCCAGTGGCCCTGCGGGCAAACGCGTGGCCCTTATCCAACTGCCACCTGCCGAGTGTTCCGGGACACCAGTCCTGACCGTCCTCTGTTTCTTTTTTTGGTGGAATTTTTGGGAACTGGACTACACCAAAACCTCCAGTCTTTTGGAACAAAGGAACTCCAGTCACTCCAGTCAAACTGGGAACTGGAACAAAGGGACCGTCCTTTAAAGCCAAAGGACCGTCTTGGCAGGGAGTGAGATGAACCCCCACTACAGATTCGTCTTCCCTGCCAAGCACCATACTCATCCTTTCATGCGTCCACGCGTTCACCCGCATTCAACGCGTTCACGCACGGCCTCCGGTGGAGGACAGCAATACCTCGGGGGCGTGGACGGTGCAGGATCGCCATGGAGAAATCACCGGCCCCTCAAATTGCATGGTGGGAAGTCTGAGGCCCCTTAGAGTCCCAAGCCTGAATGACCACGCGACGGAATGACCCAACATGTGATCTATTGATATCTACTACTGCGCTGTCTGGAGTAGAAGGCCGGTGATTTTGTGCCCTGGTCCACTGAGCCCTTGTCTTGCAAAGGTAGTAGTTGCACTCCCGACAGTCCATCACCTGACGGGAGATCGGCCATTTCCGTCGACACGGCAGCCGCTTCAGGGCTTCACGACGCGGTTCACGACGCTTTTCGGAAAGCAAGATCGTCATCGAGCGTGCACCTGATCGCATCTACCGAAACCACAGGTGGCTAGATGTGGCTGGAACTCAAATCCACGGTTCTCTCCCTCAAATGCCAGCTGAGGTTGAGACAGCCTCACCAGATTTGATCTTGGCTCCACAGCCATCACACCAACCAGGCCTGTTTTCACGGGAGCAGCGGGGAGCTCAGCCATCGGTGCACCATCTTGGTTGCAAACAAGCGGAAGGTAACAACTTGCTTAAAAAAAATGCCAAAACCATTGAAAGAAAGGTCAACCTGTTTAGGCTGTCTAAAATCCTTATGGTAAAACAATAATTGTTTGGTAAGAACCATTAGGTCAATGGTTGTTGGAATTCCGAACCTTGCGTTACACAATACACATTACGTTGCATCCGTGCTACACATTACAATACATGGCCGAATTCCTGCCTCATTCACGAGACAAGTTGCCACACTCTCATTCCGGATCCATCCGGAGAGTTGGGTGTGGCAATGGAACATCTCTAATGTTTGTTGGGCAGGACGTCTACCTCATCCAAATGGGGGGTTACTAATCAAGGTTGATTCAACATGATGATGGGTGTCATCAAACTGCCACATGGGATGAAGCTCAAGGGTCAATTGCGGTCAATTCTTGCCATTCCTGTTCCACTGAAGGAAACCCCAAAAAAGACACCACACGAACTCGGCCCAGCCTCTGGTGCATTGCCTACGTGCAGGATCCCAGCTGAGGGCCCCAGCTTCGCAGCCCAGGGCTGTAGCTCATGACCCTGGGGACATCTCTTGATGTAGACCTCGGAAGACCGAGAATGTGAGGACGGGAATGGGGAAGCTAAGGGGCTACCAGGCAACAGTCTCCCAAAACACTGTCCTCTTGACACTTCTAACTTCTAACGTCGAAGTGTCTACGGACTGCCAACCTACGTAGGCTTTTCTAGGAAGCTCATGGAACCTCCACCTTTTTCACTGTTTGACTTGTCTGCACTGTTCTGAAATCTCAACTTTTACATACACACCTTCCCCCTTCACGCGGTCTCACGAAGCGCACGCGACGGCGTCGGCGTGGTTTCCACCGCCACGCCCCAGTTCGGCGTGGTGCTGCACGTTGCACCGTCGTCAGCGAATTCATTGGGTGTATCCCATTTTCTGTAACAGTGGGTGATGATGGTTCAGTTGCAGGCCCTTCTCAAGAATAGTAATAATCTTGATTGATACAGGTCATGGGATACACACCAGTCATTCATAGTGAGCCGATGGAAGCGCCTCGCATTTCGCCCACGCGTCATTCCGTTGATCAGCGACATTCACTGGACCTCGCATGTTAGCCATGTTCGCCATCTTGGCCATCTTGGCCATCTTAGCGACTCCCTGACCTCTTTGACCTCGTTGACTTACTGACTTGACACCTAGACTTGCTCCGCGTCCTCGTGCAACCTGCGCCCCTTACCATTGGGATGCAGGGGCGGCTGCCGGAGAACGGTTCACGGGGACGGAGCCTTTCCACCGCCCCTGCACGCGCAGGAAGGTGTTCCTCGCACCACAAGCTCTTAGCTTAGCTCTTCCTCGAAGGTGTTTGATCCGTCTTGTGATCGTTCTCATGATATGTTGGGGTACTGTATATAACGCACGAACGAGGAGAAGTGGAGCTGAACATGCGATGCACGCATGTCAAACCATGAAAGCGCGAATGACATGAAACATCGTTTTTGAAGCTGTGTCGACTTGGGTCACGCCCAAATGTCCAAGACATTGGTTGGCTTCGAACCTCAGACTTGCCCAAGATGGTGGAATCACTTCCAACATGTTCACCCATCACGACCCAGTCCGCAACGTCTGAGTCCGCGCACCTTTGGTGGAGGTCCTGAACTGCCTCAGCGAGGAGCGGCGGCGAAGCGCCATCCATGCACCCATTAGAGGGCCATCCAGGTGTAGAAAAAAACAAGAAAAAACTTCATCCCGGAAATGGACAGCTCTCCTCCTGCCGACTAAACAAAGATCTTTGGGCGTTCTCACTCGTTTAACTTTTCAAGTTTAACCCCTTGGCTTGACCGTTCTCCTCGACAGTTTGGGGTCATCGTTTGCCATTCAAGTTGTTGAACACATCGGGTGCCCCGTGTTCCTCTCGCGACCAGCTGTGGGCATGTTCTTCCAAGGTCTTTCACAAGATCCATCCTCAGAGTTCCGTCCAACATCAAGAGTAGAGGAACCAGACGATTCTTTTACATTCCGATCCATACCAACAGCCAACACTCACAGCTTTTGGCCGCATTGTTTCGGAAAAAAACTGTTTTGGGGTTCCGTGTTCTTCCCGATTGCTCCCCCTTGTCCTGGACGCCCACCTTGCAGGATCCGACGAGCAGTCACATCCCTTCATAGCAGTCCACCCGCCAGCGCCGCGCGCCCGGGCGAAAGCCAGCCATCACGCCTCCTCCCCGTGTCGCATGGACCGTTGAGCCTTTCCCGCTGCCGACCGTCCGGCAGGGGTTCACCGATGTGAGCAGCGCGCACGCCCAGTCAGTCTCGCCAGCCCAGCCCAGCGGTTCGTTCGAGCGGCTGAACCAAGACTCTTCTTGGGGCGGGCCGCCTCCGAATCCCTGAGAGCGGAGGGGCGGTGTTTCACGTGTTGAGCGTTTCAGACACGAATGGAAGATCGCTGAGTCACTTTGGAGTGGCCAAGATCAAGCCGCACCACATATGCAAGCACACGATTTGCAGATACGGGAGGCAAATGAGTTAAAACATATTATACAAAACCATTGAGTTGAGAGAAACAAATTGAGAAAAAAGAAAAAGAACAAAACGCGGCCGGTGTCCTGTGCAAGTCTGATAATTCCCGACATCAGTCAAGCCCCGCCTGGATCCGTGACTTGTCGAGCGGCATGGCGCACACCAGTGCTTCACCAGCAAATGAACGAATTCTCAGTATCAACAGGCATGAACTCTTCCCAACTTGGATGGGCTGGCATCGCTTTCCTGGGTTAGTGCCGGCTGTACCTTGCTGGTGGCCATCTGGTTGAATTTGATTGGGGCGAATTTCTTGCAACCGGTTATTGTCCAATTGAGCCAAGTTGGGCACCAAATGCGGCCGCTGCTACGAAGCAAATCCCCGTGAAACTGGAAATCATGCGGCCAGTGAGGCGCGCCCTTTCCACACGCGGTCAGCTTGGCCACGGATGACCGGGGTCCAACAATGTCCAACATGCCTCAACTAGAGGTTTGCATGAGACAGTCATGAAAAGTGCGTGGTTCCCAATTCGCTTTCACACCCATTTTGTGGACTCGGTTGTAGTCGCTTCGTGGTCCATCAACGGCCATGGTTGTAGGGCAACGGCGCCCGCTTGCAGTGAGAAACGGCCCAAATGGTTGCAAGGAGTTGTTTGTTTGCCTTTCATGGACCTGGTGATGCAAATTATCCACGTTCATCACGGGGCGATCATGAGCAAGAGAAAGAAGCAGGAAATATGACAGAGACATCAATCGACATAAGACATAGAGATGGGTACAAAGCAGTGGATGGAAGAAAGAAGTGTATAGTATAGATAGGAAGTTATTGGAAATAGTGATAAGTTGGACCCCTCGAAAATGTACAATTTCAAGGGGTCGCAAAACAGAGTGATTACAATGCATGTATCACTATACAATATGACAGAATAGAGTTCAATTGCATCGAATACGGCGGTGCACCACGTGCAGCAAACTCCAAGGGGTCGCAAAATAATACACACAAAGTAATACAATCTGGTTGAGCAGAGTTCAATGAAGGTAGGGTAAGGACCCAGGGCCGCCAGCACGCGCGAGGTAAGAAGCCCCCCTGCGTCATGACCCAACCCACTGCCCTTGCCGACGCCGTTTTTCCGTCTGCTCTTGGCCGAAGTGGGGTAGACTTCGTCGGAAGGCCACCGGCGCCATCTTGTGGACGCCTTTGTGCGGCACACCTGCGCGAGATGCCACAAGCCGAGGAGTCGGTGCTTTACTTTGAAGTGATCGGCTGACCATCCGATGTGGGGATGATCCTTGGCTTTGGCCATAGTGTTGCTTCTTGAATAGAACCCACTTAGGTCCCTTGGCTGCAAGATACCTAATGTGCTCGATGTTTGCAAGATATCTGATGGTTCTTCAGGACCCCGAACCTGGGCGAAGAACAAGAAAGAGCCAACAGGGGTTGAAGAACCCTGTAGGCAATCCCATAGGTACCACAGCAGGGTCCTATAATAAGGTCACTTACTTAACCTCTCTTGGAGTGCCTTGAGACCGAAAAAGTTCCGCACGCGCGCCTCAGTGCGGCACCTTTTGGCTGTTGCATCGTCAGCCTGCTTCTGCTTCCTCGGTCGGGCAGCGTCGTTGACGTCCCCACTAAGGGTCCGGTCGCAGTTCTGGTTGATTTCTGAACTGCACTTCTGTCTCGGTGACACCTCAAACTCACTATCTACATAAGACAGATAAACCTGTCACAGCTTATGTCCTGTATTTGAGGTGTCACAGGTATCTTATGTCCAAGACTAACGCTTCATCCACAGTATCTACAGATATCCACAGATATCATCCGTCCCCCGACTTCCAGAAAGCCAAGCCGCCAGAAAGCTCAGCCGGACGCAGAAGGCATGGCGCAGCCGAACAGGTCCAGTTGCACCACACTAATCACAAGAGGTGTACAAATTCGATTGGGCACAGCTATGAAATGAACGAAAAATAATTCAAAGGATATCTTTCACCTGTCAAAGGTCTTTCTCTGAATCCCCTTTTGAGTGTTCTGCATCCAGAACGCCGTGTTTGACACCTCTCCATTGGCGGTTTCCAACGACTGGCCTTCAATTTCATTGAAGGCTGCGGGGCCCAGAAGCCCGTGGGCATTGGGTGAAAATGGGACATGGCACCACAAAGAAAGCGCCATTGACCCATTGAACTCCCGCATTTTAGCCGATGGTGGAGCCACTTGGTGAGCCACTTCGCACACATGGTGGAATGGTTGCAAAAAGCTGGTAGAAGGATGATCCCACCTAAAAATCTGAGATGGCTTCTGAAGATGACGTGGCTCCCCCTGAAATCAGATCCAAGTTGGCCCACCAGAAACCTGGCCCCGTCCAAAGGAAAAAAACACATAACACCTGCGTTGCAGGTCAGGGATGCCCTCAGGGCAGCCGGTCATCTCAGTACCTGGGCGAAGAGAGTGACGCGTGGCGACAGGGACGCGAACAGCTTAGGAACCAGGCTTCCTCTCCATATCGTGCGACGTCAATGAACATCACCAGGCTTCAGTTGCCTGATAAGTCCTGAGATATATAATATATATATATTATATATACACAAATGATGGGTTTGAGGATTTGGGGTTTCGTGAGGCAAAACAAGTCGACCAATTGACCACAAAGACCGGGTTGGATCTGGAAGTTCCTTGAACGACGAAGAAGCGCCGCGCTTTTTCAGGGGCTTTTCATTGAGTTTCCGGCAGCTTTTGCACCCTCCTCAGCAGAAATATCCTCAGTCTCTCCGAGGGCGAACCACAAAAAAATGAACAGAAGCACTAACGGCACCTCATCCCCCTTCTTCGTGAATTCGTTGGTCATCCAAGCACTTGACTCAACCGTTCTACTCTCTCAGGGCAGCACTGATGCGTGGCACAGGGGCGAACGGCACGGGTGGCGTCATGGGTACCGACATCGTCGGCGGGGTGACCCGGAAGCCCAAGGGAGGCGTCATGGGAGTCATCGGTGACATCACCTGGGCGAGGTTTCAGGAGGCGTGTGGGCTGGGTGCACTTCCAAATGCTTCCAATTCTTTTGGTTTTACAGGACTTCATGCTTTCGGCTTCACCGGGGAAAACCCGCTTCGCCGACACACGTGTTGGGGCGAAATCAGCTGGGATCTGAGCGTCGAGCTCCCGAGACCTTGGGACCATTGCCGAGGGCAGGCATGGTGTTTCGGGTCACTGCAAAGTAGGGATCGTGCTGAACCTTGGAGCGTCGTCGCTCGGACCGGAACGGAGACGGACGGACTCGACTCAACCAAGCCAGCATTGGGAAAAAACTCTTCGGTCTGGCTTTGCTGATTTTGGCTCAGAATCTCTTCTGGACTTTTTGAGACTATATTCTAAGATATATATATATATATAACATTATATAACCATGGTTCCCCTCAAGTGGATGCTTGCATCCTGGCCATTGCAGTTCTCAATTGCTCCTGTTCCAAAAGCGCGGCTCTAAAGGCTTTAAGGGCCTGGCAGCCTGCTGAGCGATCTCCAGTTGTTGTGCCTTGGGTCTCGTATGTTCGATATTGCACAACTGAGGCGAGACAAGCTTCAGAAAGCGCATGGTAATTAGGGTGCGTGTCATGTGTGATCTTTGGAAGTTCCTTCCCAGTCCTTTCCGGTCTTCCTGTGATGATCTGTGATGTCAGCACCTCCATTTGCCAAGACACACCCACCCAGCCGGAAGATGCTCGGCTCTGTCCCGATGGATCCTTGAGAGAAGCACAAACTGCTCCGGCCGCGGCGGTAATTCTGTGCGTTCAGGCGAAAGGCCTTTCCAGGATTCATACCCTCCCTCTGGCAGTCTTGGAAGAAGAGCATTCCCCCGCTGGAAATCACATTCTTCTCTACAAACTTGGGCCAGTTCAGGTTCCATGAAGACGTCTCAGAACGGGTATGAAGCAATGCAATCTTGCACACATTCACCTCAAGATGATTTTGAGAGCTTCCAAGCAAAACGTGTTAACAGGAATGGCGAAGTGTCAATCTTAACTTATATAATATTTGAAGAGTTTTTAGCCTCCGAAGTGTCAAGATAGATGGCAAAGATCCCAAAGGCCAGAGGTCTTCAAGAACTTGGAACGGTTCATGGTTCCAGGTACTCAGATGGTTGCCTTTTCTAGATCCCTATCTGGGGTAGTTCTCTAGGAGACCTTCCCCCATATAATTGCTCGCATGTCATGAGCGAACTGTGGTACTGGTACCGAGGCAAGCGCCATCAATTGGCATGGCTGAGCCTCAGCAGGACTCACCACTGAACTCCGCCGGTCAAGCAAATTCTGTCCGAAAACACCATGAGATCTCTGCAAGTGAAAACATGAATCAACTTAATTCCATCAAGTCATGATAGCCCATCACCATCCTTGATGATCTTGGCACTGGCAAAGGCGAGACCACCGAGACCAGGGCAGTGTCGGCGCAATACATGAAGGCCTGCCACCTGACTTTGTACTTGTGAAAGGTTGGGAAGGGCCGGCACCATCCCTCGCAAAACTAAGACAAAGTGATCCCATGTCTGAACACCTGACAGACTAACGCCTCCTTCCAAGATTTTCCGAGGGAAATCCTGCCGCTTTCACACTCAAGCTGGTCTTCCTCTCCAAGCCCCAGACGCATCTTCCTTCTCGGCAAACTCCTGCTTGCGCATGAGCCCAGGGCCTCGCAATCCGCCCGCGCTTCCATCAATTCTCCCACGCACACGTCGCCCCCCAAGCTAAAAATCACCCCAGACCTCCCCAGACCACCTGCGGCCCCGCCCGGCACGGCCCCACCGACGGTCGCCGGACGGATCTGAGTCGGCCACCCGCCAGGGTACGCAAGGTCCAGGTCTGCGCCGCACCGCGGTATGGCCGATGGATTCACCATGGATGAACACCGTGGTGACCGAGGTCATTCTGACATGGTCCGTGACCGAAGATCCGTGGTTTCACTCCCGGTGCTCATTCAGAATGGCACAAGAATCTTGATCAATCCTTTACGCATCACTGCACCAGGTTTGAAAGGCTTATCAGTGCCTATCAGCATGACTCACGAGAGACTCTGCCCGGGCAGACTCCTTTCTGCAAGCAGCGACTTGCAAGAAACCAACTGGGAGGCACACCCCTGGCGTTCCACCCATGATCTGCAGGTGTGCGGCC